CAAATACGTGTTCAGCTGTTATGGCTGCCGAAATGGGGAGCTGGTCCCTTCAGGACAGGAGCAGGAAACTTAGAAATGACAGTAGTTTGTGTCCCCCAAGGGGCTACAGAACGTGACAGACAGATGAATTTGAGATATAAGCATTTCATGGGGGGTGAGGATTAGGTTTAAAAAGATTTTTAAAGAGTTGACTTAGGATGTTTAAAAAGTTGTGGATTTAGCTAGATGACTCAGCAAATAAGGGGCTTGCTGCCAAGCCTGGCGATCGGTTCCTGGCATGCACATGGTGGAAGGGGAACCAACTGACTCCCCCACAAGTTGCCTTCTGACCTCCACATGCGTTTTGTGGTATGTGTACACCCTCACCGCTCATCCATCTGTCTACACGCCCATACACACACAGATAAAATGAGGAGAGGTAAAAATAATATTTTAAAAGTCAAACTGTTGAAGTTGCTGAGAAGGTCGGCGGGGGGGGGGGGGGGGGGGGGGGATGGTGACAGTGCAAAAAACACACAGAAACACAGGAGTAAGAGCCCAGATCCTGTGTGCCCAGAGAGTCCTCTGACTGAGTCCCTTGTCCTCAGCATGTCTGATAGTCTTCCTGGCCCACCTGCTTCTGCCTTCACTGGTCCTGTCCATTTCACTCAATGTGCTAAGTGGTCATGGTTTGTCCTTGAGCCTTTTCTTCTTCTGGTCACAGCTGCCTGAATTAATATAGGCCTGGGCCAAAGGCTAGAACCCAGAGCTACCAGTGAATGGTGGGTCCCAGGAAGTCTGCCTGCACCTCTGTCTTAAACTACTCTCTCTTCATCTCTCATGATATCGCTCTGTACTTTATGCAGAAAAAATATTTTGAGAATTCCATAATATGTACAACTTATTTGGTCATATTCATCCCCTACCCTCTAATTCCTGGATCTTGCCATATCTCCCTCCCAACTTCATGACTCTTTCTTTCTTTCTTTCTTTCTTTCTTTCTTTCTTTCTTTCTTTCTTCCTTTCTTTTTTTTTGAGACAGGGTTTCACTGTGTAGTCCTGGATGTCATGGAACTCACTCTGTAGACCAGGCTGGCCTCAAACTCAGAGATCTGCCTGCCTCTGCCTCCTGAGTGCAGGGATTAAAGGTGTGTGCCACCATTCCCAGCTTTGTTTTGTTTTTTTTAATGACTCACCTAAATTAATGATACCCAAATGTTCATGGGTGTGAAGTCATCAAATAGATCATGGTTAACTTGTCAGGAACCATAGTCCAGAGGAAAACTGACTTGCTCTCTCCTGGCCTACTCTACCACTCTACTGAGGTGACTAAGAAAGGGTTCGAAGCCTTTGGTCTGTTCTGTCTCCTGTTCAGACATACAGACTGGCAGCCCATTCATTTGGATGGGAGTGAAGAGCAACCCACATGGAGGAGGGTTTCTTGGTGGCTGCATGTTCCCTTGGGTCAGAGGATTTGTGGCTTGGGAAGCTTCCCTGTGCACTTCTCTCAGTGTCCCACTGATGCCAGCAGCACCCCTACCTAATTGTGACAGCTCCAAATTCCCGAGAAAAACACACATTCACTGTATGTCATTGAAAAAATACTAAAACACCTGGGGGGGGGCGGTGGCTACCTTTTACTGTTGTGAGCCACTTTTGTAGAAACCCCAGGGAATCATGACCAGTCTCTTCTACATGATTGGCAACACAAGGAAGGGATGCTGATGTGGCAATCAGCCTGGATTACCAAAGGCTCATTATTGCCCAGCCGGCGGTAGCAGAGTCACCGGGCAGCACAATTCCACAGGGTTGTGGCCTCTCAGTTTATTGTCCTTCCTGACGTGCCTGTACCTCTCTATCTTTCCTGAAACCATCATTACCGAGAGCATCACAGCCCTCAAGGGTGCATTTCGGCTTTGTCAATGCTGACACTGGCATTTGCCAGGGTGTTGCCAAGGCGCCTGTTCCGTGGTCTCTGCATGGCATACTCCCCTATTTCTAGAGACTTCATCTCAGAGATAATGACCCCTAAACTTCTGTACCACAGAACTCTCCATGTTCCCTGACCGCATGCCCTGCACCAACACAGACTGGGTTATTGTTTGTCCCCACCCCCCACAAACAGGCTAACATGCCCTCAGCACCAACACCCAGAACATTTCTTGGTATATGCTAGTGCCTGCTACGTGTGTAGAATGAATGAAGATGTACTTAGCAGAGATGACATTTCCAGACTGGGGCTATTGGTAACTACTTTTCTATAATACTGCGGAGGGACAGAGACATTTGTGAGAAGAATGGTTCAATCCTGGGACTCTGCCAGCAGGAGGGCCACAGAACTGGGCTGTCCTGACTAACGCCTGTCAGATTTATTACTCAGTGGCCCATGTCACTCACACATACTCATCTAACAAATTTTGCTTTCTTAGCCTATAAAAGTAATTCAGTAGGATTATGATAATATACACGTAGATGTTATGTTTAGGATTAGGCATAACAAACCATGTAGTAAACTATAAGCTATAACTTGAAAAAATATTACAGGTTAACTAACACCAGGTCGTATTCTAAGCTGATTTTACCTTTATGTAGCCACTATTCACAAGATGAAAATAAAATAGTTTTAATTAAACTTTGCTAAAATGTTAGCAATTGCTGTCATTACATAGAAAGTGAAACCACACAGGAATTATAAATAGAAATGCTGTTAAATTGTAGTGGAAGTCCACTATTGCTCTCCACAATATTTTTAAATTTATTTTTATTAGGCATATGAATGTTTTTCCTGCATGTATGTTTGTGTACCACATGCATGCCTTGGAAGCTAGAAGAGGGTGTTAGATCCCTTGGGACTGGAGTTTTAGACAGTTGTAGGCCGTCATGTGGGTGCTGGGAATTGAACCCAGATCCCCTGGGAGAGCAGTCACTTCTAATTGTTGAGACATCTCACCAGCCCCTGTGCATTATTTTTTGAGATGAGGTTTCTAATTGAACCTGGAGCTCACACATTGGGTCAACTTAGCTGGCCAATGAGCTTCAGAATGTACTGTCCCCTTCTGCACGGAGGAGCTGAGAGAGTAGATGCCCACCACCTCGTCCGGTGTTTTCACAGGGGTTCTGGACCTCTGAGCTTGCCAGCATGTGTGGCAAGAAAGCTACCAACTAAGCCATCTCTCCAGCCCCAGGTCCTCAGCTCTTGAGGAGGTCTGGAAGGCATAAATTAAAATCAACCAACCCTGCTGGCAAAGGCAGCTAGCTACTCAAGTATCTCAGATACCGTTGCTGCTCAGAAGAATGGTGGGGGAGAATTCTGACTTTATGAAGTGAGAAACAATGATGAGTCAAAGGAAAATCCAAAGTGGCAGATTCTGTCGGGGTTAGACTAAATGAGTCATTAAAAAAAAAAGTCAGAGCTCAGAGGTTCATAAAACTCCAGACCTCTATGGATTCTCTCTCTCTCTCTATCTCTATCTCTCTCTCTCTGCGTGTGTGTGTGTGTGTGTGTGTGTGTGTGTGTGTGTGTGTGTGTGTGTGTGTACACTGCTTATGCAGGTGCCCATGATCCTCAGAAAAGAGAGTCAGATCCTCAAGTAGGAGTTACAGGCGATATGGGCCACACAACATAGGTGCCGGGAACTGAACCCAGGCCTCTCCAAGAGCAGTATACACTCTTAACTCTGAGCCATCTTTCCAGCACTTTCTATAGATTATTCTACTTGTTCTTTTTACTCCGGTGGTAAAGACGTGTGTTTAGCATGTCTTGGAGCCAGGGAGTGATTTTGTTACTGCCTAACGTAGGGGGCACCTTGTGACAGGAGAAGCTAGTAGGCCCTGGAGAGCCAGCAGGCCTGTGCAAAGAGCATCCAGAATCCCACACTGAGAGGCTCTGATCCCACTAGACTTGAGGAAGCACCTGGCAGTGTGCGTTTGTTTGTACAAAGTGTCCCCGAAGCACAGCTGGATCTGGAGACATCTGCAAAGACTGTGAGAAACAACTTTCCTTATCGGGGACATCACTATTAGAAACATGAGGAGATAAATACTAAAACCAAGGTCTTCTGGCCAAGGAATTAGAGTAAGAGAATTATGTGTAGAGATCCCAGAGGGGTGCACACATTGTTACAATGCATGTATTGCACCACAAAGGATTGAGTTGCTGGTTGACAGCTGTTGTATTTGAATATACAGTGTCCCACATAGGCTCATGTAGTTCACTGCTTGGTCCCCAGTTGGTGCTGTTTGGGGAAGTTACAGAACTTCCCGGTGGAGCCTTGCTGGAGGAAGTGTGTCACTGGGGGGAGGGGAGGAGGTGGATTGTCAGGTTTTATAGCCTGGCCCAACTTCCTGTTCTTTCTTTCTGCTTCCTGTTTGTGGATGAAATATAATCTGCTAGCTTCCTACCCCTGCTACCATGCCTTACCCACTGTGATGAACTATACCCACTGGGAGGGATTATAAGCCAAATAAACCCGTTCTCTCCAAAGTTGCTTTCTGCTATTGTGTTCTATTGCAGCAACAGACAAGCAGCTAATGCAGCTGTCTTCCACTTTTTTTTGTTTGTTTGTTTTTGTTTTGTTTGTTTGTTTTTGTTTTTTTGAGACAGGGCTTCTCTGTGTATCAGGCCTGTCTGTCCTGGAACTCACACTGTAGACCAGGCTGGCATCGAACTCACTAAGATCCTCCTGCCTCTGTCTCTCAAGTGCTGGAATAAAAGACATGTGCCACCCACCACTGCCCGGCTTTTCCACCAATTCTAAAGACAATAGAGGCTCAATTCATCCAAAAGTGGTAGTGAATTTTATGTGTTAGATAATAGCAAAAGACAGTAAAAACCTCTAATGATGATTATGTCCATTGTTAGAACCCCATGAGAATGAAAATTGGCTACCGGTAGTTAGAAAAACATACACGGGGAATACAAAACAGAAGTTTGAGTTATAATTTTTATATTACTGGAGGGCAGTTTTACAGATGTCAGGTAAACCCTGAGGACAGATGCCATCCAGAGCAATCACACCATGAACTCGAGTGCTGGTCCCATTGGGCAGGCACAGTGTTCGCTTCCTATTTCTAGTAACTGACAGTGCAATGGGCAGACTCACAGGTAAGCAGCCACCCCTGCGCCCGATTCCTTGAATCTACTGGAAACTCTGAGAGTCCAGAGTCCAGGTCTATGTGGAAGTTTCGGGAGCTCTTTGGTGAAGGTCCCATTTCTCTGGTTTTTAATTTTCACTTTCTCATTGCTGCTTGATGTCTAGTTGGCCTCCAGGCCACAGTCTCTGAGGTATGCACAGGTAGGGAGGCCAAGAAGAGAAGAAAGGCAGCCATCTTGCTTGGTGGCCTGAAGGGACTGCTCAAGGTTCCTGAGTCTTTTCAAGATAGACAGAGATTGCTTCTTGGCTTTAGGCTCAGACTTGAGTAGTATAGACTTGAGTACAGACACAAAGGGACTGCTCAAGGTTCCTGAGTCTTTTCAAGATAGACAGAGATTGCTTCTTGGCTTTAGGCTCAGACTTGAGTAGTATAGACTTGAGTACAGACACAAAGACTTCTGCTTGTGTCTGGGGAGGCACAATTGATGCTCAGTTTGCTCATCTGGTGATACAGTTAAGGCTTGGGATTACTTAATGGTGGCTGAGGCTGGAACCAGTTGGTACAGATAGATCTCCTAAGCCTTCTCACTGGACTTGCCCTAATTTAGGGGAGGAAGACAGAAGATCCAGCGACAGGTTGCCTTGCTCTTGTTGGGATCTGACCTTGCGGTATCCCAGCAAATCCATAGCCTCACTACAGGCATCTTGAAGTTGAGAAACTTTTTCATAAGGCAAGGACCAACGCCATGCCTGGGAGACGTTGACAGCATCCCTGGAGTTAGTGTCGAAGGTATGCTGACCCATACCCTTGCCACGGGTGACGTTGTGAACCCAGGTGTGGAGATGGGGCAAGAATTTCAACCCCACAAATTTGTATAGTCTGGAGGTCTGGGCCAGGGGTTCCCGAACCAAGTCCTCATACCTCAGGAGCAGAAAGCGCTGCTGCAGCACTTCAGGCAGGGCTTGTATGGCCTTGACTATGTCCACGTGGCTTTTGCAGATGATCTGCATGGTATAATAGGGATGGTCTTTCTCCTTGATAATTTTCAAATGCTCTCCCAGCACAATCTTACTATCAATCATGAGGTCTCCTCTGGTGCGTTCTCGAGATCGGAACACAGCCCGGGGGTCTCGGACCAGGTGTACGACGTGCAGGTTGAGGGAAGGGTCTGTGAGCAGTGGGTGAAGGGCCTGCAGGTTGAAGAAACGCACCTCCTTGAGTACCACATGGCTGTGAGAGCGGCAGGCCTTCTCCACCATATCAAAGGGCTGCTGAGCACAGAGCAGCTTGCAATCCTCAGCTGAGCTTATCTGGTCACTAGAGAAGAAGTCACAGACAGGTGATGAGCACAGGGCCCGGCTTTGTTCCCACTGGAAGAGGCTGGACTGTTTTCGGGGGCCTGGTTTCATGTAGGCATCAAAGACACTCATGTCACACAGGAAAGTGGAACGCAGAAGGTCCCGCACGGCCATATGCAGCTTCCAGGCCGTGCTGCTGGTAAAACTCATCCACACATGCCAGGCAGGCTCCATCAGGTAGAAGACATCTGGGTGCTGTCCAAAAACCTGCCCCACAAAAGAGGACCCCGACCGCCAGGAAGACAGGACCAGCACATGCATGGGCCTCTTAGGCTCTTCGGTCTGGAAGAAGTCCCTATGACCGGATATATGGAAGAAGAGTGCCATAACTAGCATCTGGGAGCCCAGGAACAGCAGCAGCTTCCCTTTCTTAGACAAAATCATTCTGTGGAAGTAGAGGACCTTTAAAGGGCAAACAGAGGGATGGGACTGAGTTAGGTTATGGTTGCATCAACCTTCTGGGTTCTCCTGGACCCCCTCCAAGGAGCAATGTAAAACTTCAGAAACTTCCTGCAAGCACTTGTCCAAATCCCTCTGCAGAATAATTCTGGTTTCTTGCTCTTATTGGATCGTTGTGTTCTGGTCTTTCTTGTCCATTGAACTACCAAGAATATCCCTACTCAGCTGTATTCAATCACTCTAAGGGACACTGCCTGCCACACCTCATACCTTCTACACCCCTGAAAGAGAGTGGCCTGCAGGCAAAGCTGTCTAAGTCATGCTGAATGTCTTTCGTTTTCCTCAAACCAAGGGAAGTGAGATGCTTAGCTATGGGCTGCCATCAGGCCATTCCTCACTGATTCTGTCATGTGAAAGAGAAGCTCACAAGACCATTCCTCATCTCTCCCCCATTTTGATGAAGCCTGGGACCTTCCCACTATAATCTCCTGAAGGCTATGGATGTAGACCATCAAACTGCCTGGCTTTAGAGTTCTCTCCTTAGTGGAAGAACCATACATCACATTTGGCATCAGGTTCCTTCTGACTTAGTCTCATCCTATGGGACTAAGAATGTAGGGGAGCTGATCCAAAGCTAAACTGGTGTTTGTGCAGGAGATAAATGACCTGAACCCATCTCAGCAGAACCATTGTCTCCTTAAAGGTGACTCTATGGAAGTGTGCTGAGCCAGCCTAGGAGCTGGTTAGAGATACCTGTGGCTGCTTGGTCATAGGACTTTGCTTGGGTAATGCCTGGCTGCTTTGAAAACATACACAGGACTATGTAGCATAGTTGGGCAAGTTGTGCTGCACAATAGCAGAGAATGTCACCGTATCAAGAATTCAGATGTTCATTGTGCAAAGAGAGAGTAGAAGATGGTGTTTGGAGGGTGTTCCAGGAGCTTGATATTCAGTGTTTAAAGACCACGCTTCCGTTTGTAATTTACATAAAAACTTATGAAGACTGGTGGGACCCCTGACTTTACTCTTTTTTCAGTGAGGCTTATTTCATATGAAAAGACCTTCATGTGGGGCCCTGGGTAGGTCAACTGTGCTCCAGGGCATGACCTCATATCCCCAGTCCACAAATTGGACTTGGTGGGTTATTAAAAAAAAGACATAGAATTTGGCGCATGGGGGAGGGGTAAGGAGGTAAGGGTAAATCTGAGAAAAGTTGGGGGAGGATTGTATGCATGTATGAAATTCTCTAAGAACTAATAAAACATATTAAAAAACCATACAATAATGCAAAGTTCAATGCACATTTCATGCAGAGAGAGGGAGAAAGAGAGAGTACACTGAATTCAGCAAGACAGCTTAGCGGGTAACAGGACTTGCTGATAAACCCGAGTTTGGCCCCCAGGATCAATATGGTGGAAGAAGAAAACTGGCCCCCACAAGTTGTCTTCTGACCTCCACATACACACACACACACACACACACACACACACACACACAAACATGTGCACATGCACACATACACAATTTCAAACAAATAATAAAGATGGCCTGGTACCAAGTGCCATGTTGGTGTAACCCTCCTAGATAGTTTTTAAAAATTATTTGTTTTTCTTTATGTGTGTGAGTGTTGGCTTATAAACCCCATGCATACAATACCCTTGGCGACCAGAAGAGGGTGTTAGATGCCTAAGGACTGCAGTTACAGAGGGTTGCTAGCTACCATGTGAATGCTGGGAACTGACCCCTAGTCCCCTATAAGAGCAGCCCGAGCTCTTAACCAGTGAGCCATCTCTCTAGTCCCTCTTAGAGGTTTTAATGCTCTTTTCTATATCATCCTGGATCAAGTGACTTCTTGACATAAATAACCAAGAGACACACTAGCTATGACACAGAGCATAAATATGAATTGCAACAAGGTGCTAATGCATATATCATCATGTGTCCTACAGACTTTCCCCTACAGCCTTAGTAAAGAAGGAAAGGGGCTTGGTATTCTCTTTATGACAGATTTTATCACCAATTACAGTTTCTTCTTTTGTGTGGTGCATGTCTATAACCCTGTGTACATGGGAGGCCAAAGTAGGAGGATTGCAAGTTCAAGGCCTACTTGAGCAATTTAGTGAGGTCCTCTCTCAAAAATAAAAGACATATATAAGAGAGACTACATGTGTAGGTCAGTGGTAGAGTATAGGGAGTGGAGGAGTTCCTGAGTGTATGTGTGAGGGTAGGTGAAACCCCAAGAGTGAGTATGTGTCATTGACAGGAACATGGCCATATCAAGGACCCCAACGTCTCAGACCCCTAGAAATGGCAAAGCTTCCTTGGTCCTCTCTGCATGTTAACAGTGTGTACAGAATGCATTAAGCCTGGGCTGTCTCCATCCAGAGACTACTCCCCAGAAAAACTTCAACTGAAGCTAGCTAACTCCTTCCCCTTTGTGTAGTACATAATAAACATGCTGAGTTTTGGGGTTGTGTTGTAGGTGCCCTCCATCAGGGTGATCACAGCCCACCCAACCCTAGCTTTTCTATGTTGTTTCTTCATTCCCATGACACCCAAATCATGTTTCCAGGACTGAGCTGTGTAGGATACAACCGTGTAGCACCCGCCTAGCATATGCAAGTCCCTGAAGGTTATGAAAATTAGTGCTGTTAGAACAACTTTTATTTCAATCTCTAAAATAGATTTTACACATGTGCTGGTTAGTTTTCCATTCTCAACTTCCCAGCACCTAAAATCACCAAGAAGACAACCTTAACTGAGAAATTGTCTAGATCAGGTTGGCCTGTGGGCATGTCTGTGGGGGACTGTCTTCATTGCTAAGGTAGAAGATCCACCCTGAATGTGAGCTACATTCCCTGGGTAGCCACTGTGCTTTCCCCGAAATAATGGACTCTAACCTGCACCTGTGAGCAAGACAAACCCTTTCCACTCATAACCTGTTTTGCACAGGGTATTTTGTCACGGAAAAAAAAAACCCAAAAACCAAACCAAAACAAAACAAAAAACCTAACTCTAGGAGGTTCTTTTCAAAGGTTTTATGTTTTTGTTTTGTTGTAATTTTGAGATAGGTTGGCTTCGATCTTACTATGTAGCCCAAGATAACCCTAAAACTCCTGGTGATTCTTCTGCCTCAGCCTCCTAAGTGCTAGAATCTCAGGGATGAGCCACTAAGCCTAGCTTTTAAAATCTTTAAATCTTTATATTTATTAGCATATTTTAAATATACAATGTCATTTCTGTATACATATATGAGCCAGTATTTATCTTTGTCATTCGTACACTGTGAAAACTCTTTCTCTCTTACAAAGAGAATATCTCTCCTACCCAGAGTGCTGTGCTTTTTTTTTTCTTTCTTTCTTTCTTGTCGGCATGTCTTGGGGGTGGGGGTGGAGGTGCACAGAACACAAAGCATTTCCTTGTTTCTTTTTACCACACAGAATTCTATTGTATGGACACACAATAGTTTATCTAACTAAGGTCCCCCCAGGTTGTTTCCTAGCTCCCCTTATTTCAAAGGCTTCAGTCACCAGCTTCTTGTCTACACACTTGTAAGATTAAATCTCCTGAAGTGAGATGTTGAGTCAAAAAGTGTGTGTGTGTCTCTCTGTGTGTCTCCTCAGTGTGTGTGTTTCTCTCTGTGTGTCCCCTCTCTCTCAGTGTCTCTGTCTCTGTCTCTCTCTGTGTGTTTGACTTAGCCAGCCATTGCCATGCAGCCTACATGCTGCCTGTGAACAGGAGAGAGGTACTGGAGAGTGGGTGAGGGAGGAGGAGGAGGCAGCCACAGAGGTGCTTCTTGGAGTTTGTAACTTGCTTCCTCAAGAGATAGGACATGCTTTGCCAGCTCTCAGGCTTCCCTTGGAAGTCCCCTTGAACAGTCTGGAAATGTGTCATATTCCTCACCAGAGTTTGTGTGGCAGTGGCGCTGCTCTCCCCTCCCCCACCTCCATCTCTCTCATTCATTGCCAGTCATGCTTTCCCTCTGCAGGTACCAAAAGCATCAATCAAGGATCAGTCTTTTTTTTTTTTTTTTCTGTCATTTGTGTATGTGTATGCATATGTGTGCCTATTTGTGTGAGGACCACTGTAAAATTTTTGGTGTCATTTCGTTCTTCACACAGAATATACTTTCCTCTTTCCTTCTTCCCTCCCTCCCTTCATTCATTCATTCCTCCCCCCTTTGAGTCAGGGGCTCTTACTGGCCTAGAACTTACCAAATAGGCTGGGCTGCCTGGTCAATGATCCCCAGGGGTCTCCAGCTATTGATTACAAATTCATGCTGCCATGTATGGCATTTTAAAAACGTGAATTCTGGCAAACAAACTCAGGTCTTGGTGTTCTCAAGATAAGCACTTTACTTATGGCTCTGTCTCTCTAGCCCTTATCACTTCTTTGTGGCCAAAATATTCCACCACTTTTCCAGGCTTGGTAGTTAAGAACACTTGTAGTTAAGAACACTTGCTGCCCAAGCATGGGGTCATGAGTTCATATCCCAGCACCAAAAGAAAAGCCAGGTGGCCTTCTGGGTGCATGTATCCATGTTGTGGGAGAACAGAGACAGGAGGCTGGGGCTTGCTGGCCCCAAAGCCTAGTGAGAGTTCCTCCTCAAAAGACACTTGTCTGGTTTCTGCATGCATGAGTATGGCTTGCTCACCTACACTCGCATACAGCCCCCTCCATTCCCACGAGGCTATCATAAGGCTCGATGTCACTGAATGGTACTGTCTTGTTGTTCGGGCCCCATGGTTTAGGGAACGACCAGTTTCTAAAACTGAAGTCCAAGGTGGGATAATTGGAAATAATGCCATCGCTGAGTATGGTTTAAGTGTGTTTGTTTCCCCTCCACTACCACAAGACAGAGAGCTTTTCCTAGGGACAATTTGAGTATGGGAAATGGTGTAGAACAAAGATAGGAAGCAATGAGGTGTAGGGGAGAGGAGAACTCAGCCTGTGGACACCCAGAGACAGGCTGGAATTTTACAAGC